AGTTCTTTATTTTTGAAGTCCAAGGAAAAATTATATTTCCGTAGAAAGTCTAATCCGAGTATGTAAATGTCTGTAATATTAGCTACATATGCCACGTGATGGTAGGTGGCACTTCCAAACGTGATGTTAACGTTTAATTTCCCGCCGATGTCGATCTTCTACCCGGACGCAATCTGGAGAGTAATTCAGAGAGGCGTCCAGATGAATTTACCTTCCAATTGTGGGGCCAAATCTTTTCGAATGATAGTAACATTGGCTCTTGTATCTATGGTCATATTGCAAGGAAGTCAGATTAGTGACATCACATCGCGATGGGTGTTGCATGGAAGCAAGCGAGCTCTTCAGTTTACGCTTTTATATTGTATTTCGAAGTTCATTTGAATTGTGACTGTGTGTTTAGTATAATTTAAGTGATATTTCGTCTGATGTGCGTCTTATGTATTTTTGATTTTGTGTGAAACTAGAAGAATAATTAACGTGTTAGCGCTGCATAATGCTGAACCTAATTAGGCTTAGCGTGTGCTACGCAGCATTTCCGAGCTTGTAGCTTGTACATTTTTGGTGCATCGTGGTCCCAATTTTTAGATCCCGTTGGGTAAAGAATCTCCGCCTGCGTCTGAGCGCATCATTTTCTAGAAGCTTTCTGCCCGCTGGGCAATTTGTGGATTTCGTGCGTTTGAACTTCCTTTCAGTATAATTTTCAAGACATAATCATAAGATCATGCTCTCTCCCTCTTGTTATTAGTGTGCTCTGTTAACAAGAGCTTATGAATACAATTTCAGGTAGGCTTTAGCACCAATTTAACAAACTTATTATTCTATTTATAATATTCAATGTTACGATGTCAGCGACACAGGTCTGTGTGTCACCAGCTAAGCCTGTAGTTTCAACAGCCGCAGCGACTTCCCCGGACATTTTAAATTGCTTTGATGTTAATAATCAAGCTTCTCCACTTCATTTTTCGTCATCATTAAACGAAATTTGTGCAAATTCCTGACTTTGTTAATTGAAAACAGTGCCAAAAGCAAACTGACTAACAAAGAGACAGGAAAGTTTAAAACTTTTGTGAGTGATATAAGAAGTATATTATTGGCAGAAAACTTTACGTAGCCAATCTACCAGGACAATTGCAACACTTGAGGAATGTAACGCAATATTAGAAAAAGGTAACGCAGCATCAAAAGAACGTTGTGCTGCACTCGTGCAACGTAACACCGCATTCGAGGAAGGTCGTGCTGCACTGGAAAGACAAATATCTACCCTAACGGAAGCAACTGACACTGACGCACCTCTTTTTTCAGACGTTCTCAAAGGGAGGAAAAGGAGTAAAGAACAAATAGCAGTCTCGTCTGAAAAGAGCTCTTATCTTAATCAACCTCTTGCTTTCCCACGTAGTGAGGACTGGTAGTTCGGTTCGAGGTTCGAATCCCGCGAACGGGCTGGCTGCATGGATGTTTTCGTGGTTTTCCTCATGAGTAACGCGTATACGAGCCAGTTTCCCTTAGAAAGTCCTCTACGAAGACACCCCCTCCCCTTAGGCAGATAGCCCTCGAGGCTTTGCCGTAATTAAATAACCTATCCTAACCTAGCCCACTTAGTGAGCACGTCATCCTTCTGAAGGCAAAGGATCTAGAGTGAACTACTTCACAATTACAGGCACAACTCAAGAGCTACTTAACACCAGCCAAATTAGGCATAATATTCAAGGTACTCGTTTCATGCGCTCTAAGAAATATTAATTAGCTGTGAAAAAAGGGAATCCAACTAAATGTGTGCTTGAAAATACTTGAAAAATGTGAGTTGTCAGTGACTTAGTGGACATAAGAGTTCCAGGTCAAAAGAAACAACGTTATACAATTTTTAGTGTTCTATCATCTGCGAATGCAGAGGACATCAGATTTTCGGTCAATAAGTCCTTTAGTATCTATCCCTTCTCTCAACTTGAATCCAAGAATCCACTCAAGCGTTCGGATACAGCTAATAACTGGACAGTGGATATCTGTCCTTCTCAACAGCTGCTAACTTCCTCTGGGAAACTTTACGTAGGTTTTAATGATTCAATGCAAATTCTGTTTTAAATTTTAGGTTTCTTTTAATTCACATTTTGGTGCAATACATATACTTGATAAACAAATGTATAGCAACTCAATTATACGTATTCAACTCAACTATATTATTCATAAAAATATTTATTTAAGCAGTTTGATACTTAAACCTTATTTTCCATTCAAACTTCTTTATTCGAAACATTACAGTTATTCAGCATAATAAATAGTAACTAGTCCTAAAAATAACTAGTCCTAGTTATGTAATTAATGAAGTTTTGAGCTTTAAGTATTAACTTTAAAAACAATTGCATAATTAGGTTAAACAAGAATTTTATCTAATCATATATTACAAAAATTTCCACAAAATTACTTTCAAAATTTTAAAGTGTTTCAGAATCATCTACAATCTGTACTGCTAACACTTGATGTTCTTACGCTTCTAAAAATTTATACGCATATATAAATAATAAAGAGCAATGTTCTCCCACTGGCGATACGGAAACTGTTTCGGGATGCAATGCCACCAAAGCAGTTTTATGCGATTTGCGAATACATTTCGGTTATATATTTTAAGAGATATAGTACCTATAGTTTTTAGTAAATAAAGATATGAATTGAGCCTGTGTGCTATTGAAGGAAACAGGTAGAGTGGATAGGCTGGGATTTTATTGCTTGTACCCTGGGCCATGCGATTAGGATAAGGTGGAATAATCCCTCCCCCTCCTTGGTACAATCAGTTAATTTAGTTTGCCAACCGACAGCTGGTGCACTTCAGTATTCCCAGATTTCAGGTTAAGGTTAAAAGTACAGTAAGACCCCGCTTAACGCTGTTTCGTTTAGCGCTGTTTCGGTTTAGCGCTCTTTTATTTCAACCCGGGGATTCTCCGAAATTGTGCGCAGCGCTAGGTTTCCAAATAACATATCCGAAACAGTGTAGTTGTGTTTCTTGTTTGCTACGGTGCTGTACGGACGCATTTTTATCATTTCAAACATTTGTTGACATTATTGTAAGTTTAAATTTGTATAATACTATAACGATTAATACAGTGACAAATATTATGATCTTTAGTTTTTATCATGGGTGATAATAAAAAACAAGAAATGAAAGCAACCAGAAAAAGCATTTCACTGGAAACTCAAATGCAAGTGATTAGAAGATTAGATTCTGGTGAACGTCAATCTCAAATTAGTGCTGCATTGATTTTGGCAACTTCAACAATAAGGACAATTCTTAAGAATAAAGAAAAAATACTGTCATCGGCAACTGCAACTACGTCAAACTCTGCAACTAGAATTACCCGTTCTAGAAATAACATTATAGAGGAAATGGAAAAACGACTGTCTATATGGATTGACGACGAAATTGAACGCAATATGCCATTAAGCCAATCTATCATAATGCCTTCTTAACAAAAAGGCAGAAAATTGGAAACCCAGAATAGACTGAATGATCTGACTGAGAATTTTATTTATTTTTAAAAGTATATGCGTTTTATATTGTTTTTTATTTTGTAAGAAATAAATGTTTGATTTTATTTTTATTAAAAAAAACATTATTAAATTTAATGCCTAACCATTTTTTATCCGTCTTCCCCTAACCCCATTATTTACATGTTAAGATAGCCTCGCTTAGCGCTGTTTCGCATTACGCTCTTCTTCGATGGAACGTATCCCCCGCGTTAAGCGGGGTCTTACTGTATGTTATTTAGTGTTTAATTCAACATATTGGAATTACCTGAAATTAATGCCATTCTGAAAATTAAATATTTAGCTATCAATAAATTTGAAGTACGAAATATAACCAGCAGAAATTTCTCGCGGGTTCCAACTTTTAGACTTCAGAGAGAAAATATATGTAAATGTGAATTGTTTTCTTTGTATTATTATTACTGTTTACTTATGTTTGAATAAATATTCAGGAAGTGAAATTTTAAAATTTAGTTACAATTTTTGTTATTGTTTTGTTTTGTTAAACGTGTTTTTAAATTTTGTTAAAACAAAGTCTTCTGATCCATCAGCTGGTTTCAGATCGTTCATTCGGCCGCTATGCGATTTAAGATGACTGGAACATACTACTGACTTCAAAGACGGGTATTAAAAAGTATTAAAAGAATGATTGCTTTGGATATGTGTTTTGATGATGTATCAGATTCAATATTTTTTTTAAAAATAAATTTTTTATATATTGTTAGATTTTAATGTGTAATTGTATTACATTAATAAATTCCCACAATTTCGTGTTTCTCTATTTGAAATAAATAAAACGAATAATTAAAAAGTTCCTTTTTCGATTGCATTAAATAGCATCACCAATTCACTCAGTTTTGCTCTGAACAGAATTGCATCGTCTGAGATTATCTAAATGTAAAGCCTGGAAAATTTGTGAATTTTGATATATTTTAGCCCTTTTGATTTTTATTATCCTTCCTTTTCACAGATGGCTCCACCAGCTACACTGTGAAGTTCAAGGGTTGCAAATTAAATTTTCTCCTTAAGGTATTGGCGCATAAATATTAACTTAATTGTAACTAAATGGATGTACCAGTTGAATATGTCAAATTTGAATCTTGTATGTCAGTGGCCTGATGATAGCACAAGAATTTAAAAAAAAAATGATGAAAATATTGAAGAAGTAGTAAAATAATTATTTGTTCACAACTGATAGCTTTAACAGTGTGTAATAATTTTTTTTTTTAAACAATTTTGTTAATTTTCGGAATTTATTTTCTGTTTTAGTATTTTCTAAATTTGATATGTAACTGTATCATTGACGATATTTATGTGGATGTTTTTAACGAGAAAATTGTAGGAAGCTTTTTTCTCTGGTAGGGAGGCGATGTAATTTCAAACGATGGCCGCGGTATTTTCGCAGAGCTTCTGAAATTTTTAAATGCGTATTCAGAATTTCTCATCGCCTAAATAAGTTTTTTGCTTTTTTCCCCCACTGCAAGCTCTCGCCCGCTCAGCTGAGGGGATTACAGTCTCTGAAAACGTAATCTGCACTTCATCCCTCTTCATCGTGTATGGCATCTACGAAACCGAAACTCAGGACATAACAGCCAGGTAAATATCCATCCCTTCTCTAAACTAAACTAAATCTCTGACTCATTAGTGCTTCCTTAACGCATTTACACAGGGTTATTAGGAAAGAATCATCCTATTTCAAAATTTAGTATTTTCCTTAAAACAAAAAATTATAATTAATATGCCATTAAAGGAAATATATTAAATTTTCAGTTTGTAACATGGTCTTTTCGCGATAGGTGGCAGCACTATTATCATAAGCTGTTTTTGAAATTTGAAGAGAAGTAGAAATGGCGTTTAAGCAGGAGAAGGCTCTTTGTGTGCTTTCCTTTGCAAGCAGTCAGTCAGTAATCACTGTTCAGTGAGAATTTAGGAGAAAGTATCATGAAAATAAAGCATCGATATCTCAGAGTATTAGAAGGTGTTCCAGGAAACTGGAACAGAGTATTAGAAGGTGTTCCAGGAACAACCAGTTCCAGGAAACTGGATGCCTGTGTGAAAGTCAGGGCAGCTAAGTGCTTCAGCAAAGAATGTTGAAAGAGTGGGACAGACGTTTCGAAATTCGAAGACATGGACATTTTTACTAGTTGTGAACTTGGGATACTTCAGTCTACCGTTTGGACTGTGGTGAGAAAAAAATACCATTTTAAGCCTTAAAAATTGCAAAGAAGGCAAGCACTGACTAGTGACAAGTTGCAAAGTCTAAACTACTGCTTTTTCATGGATTAAGCCATGCAAGACGAACATATTTGCAATCAACTGCCATTTATTGCGAAAAGACAATGTTACAAACTGAAAATTAAACATTTTCCTTTATAATGACATATTAATTATAATTTTCTGATTGTCATTATGAGAAATTAATTTTTCAAATCGGATGATTTTTTCCTGATATCTTAGCATATTATTTTCATTAGCTTCTAGCATAAAATAAGAGTTAGCAATTGCTGATAATTATGTATTCCCTCTCTCACAGCTATTCTTAACACACGCTTTTTTCCTTATCATTTGTCGTCAATCAGCTGTTACCCTTCTAAGCCCTATTACGTGCAGTGAGCAATTTCTTGAGAGGGAAAATTTGGATCTTTGGCATTGACAGTTGCATTAGGTTGTGCCATTTGCGCCATCCTTCTCCTTACATTTTTCAATTCGGTTAAAAATTTTTTGTCTTTAAAAATTAAATCTTATTGTAATATTTTTTAACCTTAGCTTTCTCACATGCTGTACTTCGTTTTCGTTATTTGTTTAATATCCAAATGAGAGTTAAGGATTATTCAATATTTCCCTAAAAAAATTTGGTAGAATAATATGTAAGTACAGTGTACCCTAGTTTGCTTAAGTAGTACTAATAAAGTATGTTATTTAAATTAATCAAAAATTCCTATACTCCCTAATACCGTGTTAATATAAGAACATAATTGTCTATCGGTAGTGAGTGGGGATATCCTGAAATATTAAATCCCGTCTCTTATCTACTTTTAATGTGAGGATGTGGCACGAAGAAAATTTCGTTTTCGTTTATTTACTTTGTACAACTTAATTCATAGCCCTATCTCCCTTCTGACCTATCACCCATATTTAACTTTCTAACTTTTATGCTTACCTTTCTCTACAATTACTTTACCCAATTATTTATTTAATAAATCATTTAATTAAAAAAAAAGTATTTTTTATCACGTACAGCCATCGCTCCGCTCCCTTTCCTGCTGCCAAATCTTGCTATTAACTTCCAGCTTTATGCATTCCAGCTCAACATTGTAGACTGTGTTCCATTTTATTCCTATCCACCTGAATTTCATCTCTACGCGTTTCCCCTCTCACCTTTACCTATGAAGGCTGCATTTTGATTGTATTACTTGTCATGTGCTTTTATCTGCATTAATCTGTTTTAATATTTACTTCAGCCGAGCTTGCAGCTTTCCACACTCTTCCTGTAAAATCCGTCCCACCTCCTTATCTATCCTCCTACAAACTCCGCCCCATTTTAAATTCCGCCTACGCTTTCTACATTAACTGTGCGACCCTTTTGTTCTTCTGTGTTTGCATTTTCCTCTTCTGTTTGCTACTATTCTCCAATAACTGTATTATTTTTACCGTAATACCGAAATATTTCTTGTGAATCGTGAATCCTTTGTGGTGTTTAAATATACAACTTCAGTGAGCTTTGACCTATCATTGGGTTTGCTCCTTAGGGGATGTCAAAGCGCCCTGTAAAAAAATTATGCGAAAACAAAATTCGTATCAAAACACAAGATGAAAATTGCACGAAAACAAGCCGTCGAGCTGGCGATGGAAACCACGGGTAGAAACGTAGGAAGTGCAGTGGTGCTCCTGGCGCCGTCTTGGTAAGCAGGTGATGAATAGTAATATAGAGGAAATATACGAAGTTTTCAAGTACAAAAAGCAATTATATGGCAAATAAAGGTCTAAAGAGGAGGAATATGTAAAAGTTCAGTTTCGCGCTTCGAACTCGCAATCTTTTTACCGCTCAGCTATGCTTGCGTGTTCCGAAGCTTTCTAAAATAGTAGACTTTAATGAAGCGAAGCGTTGAAACTTTCCAAATGAAATTGAGTTCTAAAATAAATCATAAATTTTAATATGCTGCATTGTGATGAATCGTGCGAGGTCTCTTGTATGGTTAAGTAATCATTCATCATAATTTGCAATCTGAGCAATATGAGGGTAGCTTCAATTTAAAATAGAAGTAAAGAAATTAACTTCTACGTACAAAGCTACTTCAAACACGCGGCATAAATTTCGAACTAACTCTCCTGCTACAGGTCTTAAAACCGCCGCTTAAATACTATTTTCCACTCATTTAGATTTGCATACACGTCATTCATGAAAACTTAATTCTGGCAGGAAACTGAAATCAGAAGGGAAAGGATAGCTTCTGAAACTAAAAATAATTGGTTAGCATAAAATAAGGTTTTTACACTACCTTCTAAAGATTTCTGTTCGAGGTGTTCCGAGGGCTAGATTTCTGTTTCCTTTACCTGGGTGATGTTTTAATTGCTTCATTATTTGAAGACGAGCATAAAACATATCTGTACTTAGTCTTTTACAGTCTTAATAAATATAACTTGTGCATAAATGTATCAAGTGTGTTTGATGTTAAAACAATGAATTTTTGGGTATATTAGTGTGCCATCTGGTTTACAACTCCTGCCTGACAAAATCAAAACTATTCTTGATTATGAACTACCATCTACTCTTTATGGACTGAGAACGTTTTTAGGCATGGTAAATTTTTATAGGAAGTACCTGAAGGATACTGCTCAAACCCAGGCCATTCGACATAAAATACTTAAGGACGCAAAGGAAAAAAACGCAAAACTAAAATACATTGGACCAAAGAAAGCATAAAAAGTATGAGAAATGCAATACTGTCCTCTTAAGTTATCCGAAGCCTGAATATCCACTATCTCTGTGCACAGAATATATCTGTGTCAGACGCATTATTTTCCCTAATAATGATTAAGACATTACTTTCCTCAGAACTTATGAAACCGCAATAACACTTAGTTATATAAATACAACCACTGTATTCATTTTTTCCCATTACTTATTTACTATAATGAAAGAGAATTATTCTTCTACATAAAAACTGAGCCATTATGATTTGTGGATGATTCATTTTCCTCCAGACTCCTCTGAATGAAAAATGACTATTTGCGGTTGACGTTAACTGACATTTTATACAGCTTCGTAAAATAAACTTTACTTTTTGTTTTCTTGATAACCGATTTCACCATTTCCTTTAAATCAAAAACTGCTGCAGAATTTCACCGCATATCCAAATGCGCTACGTTTACTTCGGATAAATATAGTGGGTCTTCTTATGGCTTATCTCCTGAATACGACCACCTTTCAAAGTGACCAGCCTTTTAAGAACATAAAGAAACATCAATATTGATCATAACCTCCCTAAGGTGAGCATTTCTACGGAAGATTAAAATAATCTAGAACGTGGGAACCCTCTTAGAAAGGATCGACTGCATTTATAAATTTCCGAAGTTTTTGTCTTAGAAAAACAATGCATAATATACAAATTAATAAATGAGTCATTTCGATAGAATGTTATAATCATGAAGTCATTTCGATAGAATGTTATAATATATGAACATTACTTAGCCTTAAATTGGTAATTCGAGTCAAGGGCGCAGCTAGACCTTTTCCCGCTTCTCAAAATATACAAACAAATAACATAATAATAATAATAATAATAATAATAATAATAATAATAATAATAATAATGTAATATAGGAAATAAATTAAAACTATATGTTTTTTTTTTGAAAAAGTTTTTAAACTCCAAACATTTTAAAATTATGCTATTACTTTTTTATATTTTATCAAATTTATTTTTTGAATTTATTATTTTTTACTTAAATTTTTTTCTATCCCCAAACCATGGATGGCATCGTAGGTATCTACTTGATTTCTCCAGTTGCTGTTAAGTAGACAGTAAAGAAAGATTTCTTAAATGCAAAATAAACATTTATAGTTCTAGTAAAATACTTTCTACATGATTTTTATTTCTACATGATTATTATTGAATTATTGCTTTCTAATTCGAATTGCATTATGCTTTTAGATCAGAAATTTGACTGTAGTTTGCATTCTAGTAACATATATTTAGAAAGTTTACATAAATCTAGTAAATATTGTTATTTAGAAGACAAAGAATAAAAAAATATTAATTTTGGTACTTTTAAAACCAATATGTCATGTATTGATTAACGATAATGTTTTACACAGAAATTAAATTATTGAATGAATTTGAACTCTTATAAAAATATTACGATTAAACCATTAATTAAACCTGCTAGGTTAATAAAATTATGTAAAGAAATGTTTATTACAAGATTAACATAGCGATAAAATAATAGAGACAAAAAAGTATCAAAATCTTGGTTGCAAGCTTTTCGGCTGATGGAAATAATGCGCTAAATAAATTGGTTAAGGAAAATCTTAGGCATGTTATGCAAGCAATTATTCTTATCAAGAATTAAAAAAAAAAAAAAAAAAAAAAAAA